AAGAACACGACTTTCTAATTCACCGTTTTACTATTTTAAATTAATTTTGATTAAGTAACATAATAAACTTTTAAATTAAATTGAAAATAAGAGTTTTGTTTTTTAACAGTCTAAAATAAATTCTTTTTGTAACTTTCACACAATAATTAGTTTCTTTTTCTTCTTATTATTTCAAAATTTTGATTTTTTTCTTTTACTAAAAACTCAAAATTACCATGTTATTAATTTCTAGCGATCTATTTTTGGGTTATAAGGTTTGAACAAAAAATAATAATACTTTTTGCATCTTGTCATATTTAAAAGAAACGAATGTTTTTATTATTTTTGTTATGAAAGTATGAGAAAAAACAAGCTGATAATCATACAAAAATAACTCATATTAATATATTTCAGATTAAAAGTTATTTTAATCGGAAAGAACAATAAAGAAATCCTAACGTATCTGCCTTAGAAAAATCTTGAGAAGATTTGGCTTGATGGAGTCAAATAATTCATAAACACTCATTTGACTTTTAAACCTATAGTTTCTATCTGACACATAACATTATTTTTTGTATTAAAATGGAGTAGATTTGGTTTAGATAGTGATTAATATCTAATTCTTCGACCACTTTTACAACATATTTTCCACCTAAAAATATTCCACCTATTTTCCGTCTTTTAACTTATATTATAGATTTTCAAAAGTAGTAGAATATTAATAGCTTTTAACAAATTTGTCTTAATATTTATTAGGGCAACTTAATAAATAATAATATAACATTAAACAATTATTAACCATATTAATTTTTTGTATATAAATATTTCCAAGTTAGTTATTATTATATATTTATATTATTAAACAAACATTTTATTAAATAACCAATATTATTATTTACGTATGCAATTGACTAGGATTGTATAAACTCAAATTAAAGGACAAAAACATATAAACCTAATTTAGAGTTATACTATTACTTCACATTATTTTAGTGCAAAAAATAGAGTGAAAATGGAGCAAAATAGTACAATAAATAATAGAGTAAAATAATTATTTTATTTTTCTGTTACAGGTGGCGAAATTTTGTGCGGAGCGAATGCATGAAGTGATAGCAGAAGAGTGGGATCAAGAAGCAGATAATGGCTATAAATGGAAACAAAGATGGGAGTCAGTGATGTCCAGTAGCTTTAAAAGGGCCGACAATGAAGTCTTATCAGAAGCTGCAGCACCTGAAATCGTTGGATCCACCGCAGTTGCAGTGGTGTTATCTGGTTGCCAAATCATCGTATCCAACTGTGGTGATTCCCGAGCAGTACTTTTCCGTGGCACAGAATCCATCCCTTTAACAGTTGATCAGAAGGTCTTACAGATTGCCAACAACCCGACCAATAAAAAATCGTAGATAAAATTCAACACAAGAATATATAAGAAAATGATCTCAAAAACCGGAGAAAAACCATGGACATCATTAGAGAAAAAATCACTACATGACAAATTTTACAATCATATAGACTAATTTCCCAAGGATATTGGAATTGCCTACACTTTCAAAATTATTTAACTTATACTTTTCTACGCTTTTGAAAAAAGAAAAAAAATCAATTACTTGAAGTGTATTTTGATCTCAAATTTGGGGCGCTTTGAAACTAAAGCATTGGACTTCTTTTTTAAAAGTATAAAACCCGATTCACCTTTTCTTTTTCCATTAATATCACATAATAACTTTTATATATTAGGCAAATCTCAACATGATTATTTATTTTCTTAATCGAAATTAAATGATATCTTATAGTCCATTTCTTCTACAGCCCGATAGAGAAGACGAGCTCTTGAGAATCGAAGAACAGGACGGAAAAGTCATAAATTGGAATGGAGCAAGAGTATTTGGAGTCCTTGCCATGTCACGAGCGATTGGTAATCCCACATTTTACTCAACTTTATTTTATCAGTATCAATACCAGTAACAGTAACTATCAGTATAATATATCTAGGTGACCGATACTTAAGACCATGGATAATTCCAGTACCTGAAATAACATTCACAACAAGAACCGATGAAGACGAGTGCTTAATAATAGCAAGTGATGGACTTTGGGATGTGATGTCAAACACTGAGGTAGGTGAGGTGGCTCGCCGGATTTTGCGGCGGCGGCGGTCTGCCGCCAGCGAAGTACCGGCGGCGCAAATCCTGGCTGACAGTCTGATTGAGATAGCTGTGGGAAGAAATAGTTCAGATAACATATCGGTAATTGTTGTTGATTTTAAATCAAAGAGAAAGCATCATCATATATCATCATCATCATAATGCATGAACAAAAAGAACATGTTAAACGATCTGAACAGATTAAGAGCTTGTATAAAGCTGACTGGTTTCCGAGTTGGTTAACAAGATCATAATACCTAACTTTTACTTGGTTTTGATCCATTATCTATTCAGACAAATGTTGAGTATAAGAAACTGTGATGAGTCATGATGATGATGATGTTGTTCTTGGTGAAAACACGAGCATTTAACTGTGTTATTTAGTATGTGATTATTTGTGCTCATTGGTTTTGATCAACAAGGTTATTATTAATTTATTTTGTTATGTAATTTATCGAAGTTTATCAACGTCACATGATTAATGTTCTTATTTGACCGATCGTCAAATGATATTTGATGTTGGTGTATTGCATTACAACCGAAATATATTTTGATTATTGAGCATTGTAGGTGTTTATGTTTAGGGTAACCTAAGTTGTTTCAGAAATCTTAAAAATTGATTGTGAAAAAAAAAAAATTAAGATTTTTATAATCTTGGTTGTATTGTCTCGATCAAAGTCTCTAGTACCAATAACAAAAGGATTCCTCAAAATAATTTGGCGGATAATATTACAATATGTTTTCAAAACGTAACTATTTGTATTTAATATAAAGTTTCTAAAAGATGTAACAAAATAAATAATAATATTAATATAAAAACAGATCCAGTTAAAATGTCCAATTTGGTCTGATCCGGTCCAAGTGAAGTCCAAATGAAGTCTAATGGTATTCAAGTCCGGTCCGTGCCGAAGGATATGGCCCGACTACTTGGGGTTAGATATGAACAAAAAGATTAAAAGACCAATATTGAAAAAAAAACCCAGTTTTGGATTTTTTTTTTTGTTACTACTTGGGGTTAGATATGAACAAAAAGACCAGTATTGAAAAAAAAAAAACCGAAACTGGACCAATCTAAAATGAGACTGGACTGGCTCGTGACCGTTTTGAAAAAACAAAAACAGACCGTTTTGTGATCGGTCCCAAAAAGACCGGACCGTTCCGAGATTGACATAAGACGGGTCCAAGACCGACTTGAAACCGGTCAGAAGGGAAAGTTTATATACATATAAATTTTGTTTTAATTACACATTTTAATCATAATTACCCAACTTCTTTCTTTTATTAAATTTTAATGTATCATTTGAGTAATTTTTAATGTACCATTTCAGCGTTAATCACACATTTGTTAACAACAAAACTCAAAATCAAAACAAAAAAAAAGAGAAAAATACTGAAGTCGAACGGAAAAAGTCTGAAACCAAACTCAAAAAGGTGCTGGCAAAGACCGCGAGATCACTCCGAAAAAGACCAGATCAAAAAAGACCGGTCCGAAAAAAACATACCTAGACCGTCTGAAAAAAGACTGGTCCAGGATCACCAATGTGTATCTCTACCTCGAATTATGTTTACTTTTAAAAGGGATATAAAATCATCTTACAGATTAGTGAGTATAATTTTATGTACCAAAACATAAATAATAAAACAAGTAGTTAAAAGGCAATTCAATCGACATGTTCAAATATTTTCTATCAACTAACAACACTTAGGAACTTAGGATGTGTTTGGCGTATATAATTTAAATTATTCAATGTTGTGTTTGGTAAGACACCTAAAATAGTTTATAACCTACCTTATATAAAGGTATGTGAAATGACTTATTGAGAAATTAGAGAGATGAATAGATAGGTTGGCAAATGTAAAGGAAAATTTTAATTTTTTTATGAGAATGTTTTTTCATAACCCATTGTTATATATATATATATATATATATATATATATAATATATATATATATATATATTATATATATATATATATTAGTTATATCAACAAATTACATGAATTTATTACAACAATGATGTGTCAAAAGATCAACATAAAGAATTGCTTCAATTTATCCAAATTTAAGCATGGAGTAGTTGATAATTTGACTTATGCATATGAAAATATTATTTCCTCTTACTTAATTCTGAATATGAATTATAACCATGGTATGGTTGCTCTTGAGAAATTTCTTGACACTAATGATCTTTTGAAGATTTTGAATGTTTCAAAACAAGTAAAAATTTGTAAAAATTCTTCCTCAAATGATAAATCAATATGGATGACAAGTTTGTTGATTTAAATGATGTTAGTGATACAGTAAGTAAAATAGAAGAAGAGATTGATTGTTCTGAACTAACTGTGAATAAACGTCTTACTTTTAGTAGTAATTTTGAAGCTATTGATTAAATATAAAAGAACATTCTTATATAACTTCCGAAATAAAGTAATTCTTACAAACTGTTCTTTAAAGTTGCAATTCCAAAATATTTCATGAGAATGTTGATGTAAAAGATATCACTGATTATGATATGATTTTGATAAGGAAAATTTGAGATATAAAGGATTATTATTAATAAAATTAGAAGGATTGTTGCTTATTTCTTTATACCTAAACTATTTATATTTTATTCAAACAAGAATTTTAGAACAAAATAAAAATAATTGTACTATGACTTGCAAATAAAGAAAACCGAAATATACTAAATATTTTTATCCAAAACAAGAACCACACAAAATTTAACCATATTGCATTATGGGATCATCTTTCTTTATTATTCATTTTTTGTTGTATGATTTTTCTTTATTATTCATTTTTTGTTGTATGATTTTTGTTAATAGTTAATACTCTATTTAACTTCATTCACACGTGATCATAATAGTTGCACACCACTTGTTAGATCAAATGCCCAATTAAAGATATAAACATTTCATCAAGGTTACACATCAATCATCCCAACAATAATCCGATTTTAGTCATGTTACCCAACAATCGCTCAATTACAAGCACATTTCATCGGGTACTCTCACAGCCCTCATTACTATATACATAAAAATACCATTAAAAGAAAACCTTATGTTTTCTGAAGATTAGCTAGTTCAAAGAACGCCCCTTTCTTATTCTTGAGTTGATTATAAGTTCCTTGTTCCAAAACTTTCCCTTCAGATACAAAAGCAATTGAGTCAAGGTGTCTTATTGTATTAAGTCGATGTGTCACTACAACTGTAGTCCTTCCAACCATAATTCGATCCAATGCTTCTTGAACAACTTGTTCTGATTGGACATCAAGGGCACTTGTAGCCTCGTCTAGTAGTAAGATTGTTGGGTTGCGAATAATTGCTCTAGCAATTGCAATTCGTTGTTTTTGTCCACCTGATAATTGTAATCCTCTTTCACCACATTCGGTTTTATACCCGTCTTTTAGTGCCCTGGATAGATTATATATATAAAAAAATAAGGGTTTGTTTCTTGTTTGTTTTGCTATTGAGTTGTTTCTTGAATTAATGAATGAGTAATTACGTATATCTGGATAAAGTGTTGTTTCTAGATTGTGACTAAATGATCATTTTATCTTTACATTATAAAAAACAAGTTTCATAAAAGTCTTTGATTTTAACATGGGAGGAGTTAGATAAGGTGAAATGGTTGGTGTCTTAATACGTGAAGCTATATTTTTTTTTTGGCTTAACTCATTAAATCATTATGTACAAATTAAATTAAAAAATAATTCAATGCAAATAAAAGTTTATTATGTCAAATAAGTTGGGGAAAATCAAATATAATATTGTGGAGTTTTTTCAATTAAAAAGCCTTCTTCTTCTTTTTATTTATTTATTATTTTTTTTATCTTTTATTTTTTTTATTTGCTTGTGTAGTAAAAACTAACAAGTTTTGCAAAATTAACTTTTTCATAGTTTTAACTCTTATCTTTTATCCTTTTATTTTATTTATTATAAATAAAAATTGTTTTTTATGTTCAATATAATGTAAAATAGATATATAAATTTTTAAAACTTATAAATGATACTATATTTTAATTTTATAACTAATTAAAAAAAAGTTTGAAATTTTCTGAAATTTAGGAATATATTAACATTTGAAAAATAATTAAAAATATACGAATATATTAACGTAGGATAAATATATATTTATTTGCGTAAAATGTACTTACGAGATGAAAGTATGAGCATTTGCAGCTTTAGCAGCATCAACCAATTCGTTTTCAGAAGCATCAACTTTTCCGAAAATAATATTGTCACGAATTGTGCCTGAATATAAAACGGGCTCTTGGCTCACGAGTGCCATATGTTTTCTATACCATTCAATGTTGAACATCCTTATGTCTACTCGGTCTACTTTCACCGTACCTCTGTCTGTATCATAGAATCTTTGGACCAATGCAATAACTGTTGACTTTCCAGAACCACTTTTTCCAACTAATCCTATGCTTGTTCCGGGTTTTACTTCTAAACAAAATTCTCTTAAGATTAATGTCTCAGGTCTACACGGATATGCAAAATCGACTTTTCTTATTTCTATTCCGCCACTTAGTTTTTCCAATTTTACTCCACTACTTCCATCTCCTTCCTGTTTTTCCATACGAGCATTAGCTAGTTCTTATATGAAACATATGAATCAGTACCATAAATGGGTAACGAACTATTTGTTTTTTTCTTTAAATTCCATTTACAAAACAATTCAAATAATGGTATTTTCTGAACATAAAATATTCTAGATGAATAATTTTGGATAATACTTTAGAACTTGGTGTTTTGTGAAGATTTTATTTATTTATTTATTATTTTTTTTTGCATTTGTGACATTTTGTATTATAAAATAAATGGATATTTGATATATATTAAGTTTACTTTTTTGCCTTTTAAAGTTATTTAAAATTTTAGTACTTTTCAAAGCTAAAACAAAGGCTAATATCGAAAAATATTTTATATATTATGTTTTTCCAAGAGTAAACCTTAATATATATATATATATATATATATATATATATATATATATATTCTCGTTTTTTTTTATTTGGCCATTTTAGCATTTTTTTTCTAAAAAACTTGCCAATTGTGATTGTTTTTTTGGACAAGAAATAAAGAGCTAAGGGATTTTTTGGAAAAATATTAAAAGGTTGTGGTTTTTTTCAGAAAAAATATTGAGGGTTTTTTTTAGGAAAATGAAAAATACAAGATTTTTTTGATAAAAAATAAAATAAAATTAAGATTTAAACAAAAAAAAAACAAATATATAAGTTTTTTTTATATTAACCCTAAAAACAAAATACATAAATATAAAAACTGAGATTTGGTGATTGGCTACTTACATGAACATTGGTGGAGATTAGTGATTGGCGATCAAGAATGGAGAAAACCGAAGCAACAGCTTTGGAGCCTTTAGCTATGTCGGAAGTCATACTTCCGGCATCAGCTATTACTTTTCCGGTGCTGATCAGAATAAAGAAAGTCTTGAAAACGTCACCGGCCGATATCTCTCCGGCGTTGACCAGCTTCCCACCATACCAAAAATCCAAAGCCCAACATATAAAAGTCAACCCTTGAGCTGACCCGATTCCGATTCCGGCTAACCACGCCTTCTTCCTCGCTTCCCTTCTCGGCCCATCTTGAGCTTTGTCAAAAAGCTGAAGAACAATCCCTAAACTTTGAAACGAAGTCACAATCCGATGATTGTAAACAGCCTCAACAGCAATCTGAGTGCTTTGATTCTGATACTTTATGAAGTTTGCAGACATTGTTGAAAGTAACACTTTTCTTGCGTAGAAACAGAGAATCGTTAGAGGTTGAACTGCGATCATCACAAGTGCAAGCTTCCAAGCCACGATTAAACCCATAATCATGGCGATCAACACCCCTGACCCTGTTTGGATTAGTAACGACATTCTGTCAGCTACAAGAGATTTCACCATTGAAGCTTCGTTGCTTAACCTCGAGCACAACGCACCGCTTGCGTTTTCTTCATCGTCAAACCAGGCTGTTTCGAAGGTCAAGATCTTTTCAAGCATTTTCAGTCTGATTCTTTTGGTTAACTGTTCACCCATGTATGCGAAGTTGTAATGCTGTAAGAGGTTAACGAGGATAGAGATGATAGAAAGTGAACAGAAGATTATGGAGTAAGTTCTTATTCGGGAATTCATCTCTTCGTGATTTAGTACAAAAAAAGCTGAAATCATTCCTCCTACTGTTAACGCGTACACCGGTTGCACAGCTCCAAACGTCGCCGCTGCTAAGCTCCCAATCACCGCTTGTTTCCATTCCGGCGAGTTTAGAGCAAGGAGTCGGGAGAACGAAGGCGATGGGTGATTTGATGATGATAGCGATTGTGGATCGTTGAAAGGCATCGGTGAATCGAACATTGCTGGGCTCGATTTCGACGTGCTTAACCTCGAAGCGCTGCTTTTTGTCACCGGAGTGTGGTGTTCGTCGTTAAACGAGCTGAATTGGCGCTGAAGTTTGACTAAATGGGAGTACTGACCTGTGTGACTGTTGATTAATTCGGTGTGTGGGCCTTGTTCGATAACCCTACCTTCACTCATGACTGCAATCACATCTGCGTTTCGTATCGTTGCAAGCTTGTGAGCAACCACCATTGTTGTTCTTCCCATGGAAGCTTGATCAAGAGCAGTTTGAACAAGTTTCTCCGATTCTGAATCAAGTGCGCTTGTAGCTTCATCGAGAAGAAGAATCACAGGGTTTTTAATAATCGCTCGAGCAATCGCTATCCTCTGCTTCTGTCCCCCCGATAACAACGCCCCTCTTTCACCGACCTTCGTTTCATATCCTTCTGGAAGCTGCCGGATGAAATTATGAGCATTGGCCGCCGTTGCAGCAGCGATTACTTCCTCCATTGTTGCATCGATCTTCCCAAACATAATGTTTTCTCGAATCGAAGTTCCAAATAGTGCGTGTTCTTGACTTACGAGTCCCATTTGTGCTCGCAACCATTTCAACTGTAGTTTTTTGATATCGATTCCATCAACACGAATAATTCCTCGATCTGCGTTATAAAATCTCTGAACCAAAGCAATGGCGGTGGATTTACCACTACCACTTGCTCCCACTAGAGCGACAGTGCTTCCTGCTTCGATTTTGAGGTTGAAATCTTTGAGAATAATGGAGTTAGGTCTTGAAGGATATGTGAATTCGACATTTTCGAATTCAATCTGTCCGTGGATTTCATCAGGTATAAGTCCTTTGATGTCTTCACCATCGATTTCTGGGACTCGATCGATTCTATGGAAGATTCTTGACGCTGCTATTGATGCTTCTGTGAAGTGATTCAGTTCCGGTAATGCCATCCCAAGAGCTCTTCAAAAACAAAACCAGCATTCAGAATCATATTTCCGGATATGACCATTTTGGTCCCTAAAATTCTGTTTCATTACATTTTGATCCCTAACATTTTGACATATATTTTGGATAAGTTTATTTTATTTTATTTTTATACTAATTTTATCTGGTTTAAAGATTTTCATCCGGCAAAAAAAACTATTATGTATTTTCTGAAAAATGTTTTCAAAATGTTGTGCCTTTTATGCAAGCAAAAGATATTATTTGCATAAAACATATTACATTTCAATCATTTTTTCTTTAAAATACATCGGGTAACAAAGCAAACACGAAAAACATGATTTGCGTTTGGTTTAAATTGTGAAAAAAAAAAAGAATCCATATCTTATACTAGATTTTTATTTATTTTTCAAACATAACCTTAACGATAATGACAAATATAAAGATATGGGTAAAATGGTCATTATTATAAATCAATAGTTGAGCTCTTAACTTAAATGATTTAGACACTAAAAACATGACAACTAATTTTTAATCAAATTATTAGACCACACATTTGTAAAAATCAACAAAATCAGGCGAACCAAAAATATAATTAACCAAATAAGCAAAAAAAAAATTACTTACAATCCACCTAACACGAATGCAAGACCGGAGGTGTACACCCGCCCTCCACTTTCTCCTTTATACATAACCAAACGACTTCCATACCACGCGATCAATGCCCAAATAGCAAAAGAAAGCCCAGTGCTCCCAACAGCAAGACCTTTCGCGATTCCTTGTTTCAAACCCATTTCAGTTGTCCGGTCTAAAATCACCGAGTATTTTTTGACAATCATTTTCTCAGCAGTAAACGAGTAAACAGTTTTTATGGAAGCAAGAGCTTGTTCCACAATACTATTCGCCTTAGTGTATTCTAGGAACGACTTTTTTGACAAAAACAACAGATATTTTCCATAGATAAGACCTGGAATAATCAAGAAAACCGTCGTTGGAAAAGCTACTAAAGCCATCCTCCATGAGAAGTATGTGCAAAATGCTAGTCCCGATAAGAACATCGACGTGTACATCAAGAATTTTGGTACCTACAAAAAAGTTAAAATGAATTAGTGACGGTTTGTTTGCGGGTGTCGCGATAGGGGCGTGGTTACCTTTTCACTAAGGACTTCTTGGAGGAGGGAGGTGTCTTTTGAAATGCTATTGATGATTTCTGAAGTTGTTGCTTCTTGTGAATCAAAAAAACCAACTTCTTGTCGTAAAATAGCCTCCAAATATTTGTAACGAATTTTTAGGACTTGACGTTCGCTTATTTTACTCCAACAATATCCTTCTGCAGACAATTGATTGATGAGTTAAATGAAAGAAATAACAATTATTTTTGTTTATATGTGTATTACATCAAATATGTCTAATTATAATGGTGTACCTTTGTGTTATTTCCTTATTAGGACATTATACCTATAAAAATATACCTAATTATAGTAGTAGTAAAAAAATGCTATAACATGAACAAGTGCAAGTATATCGTTATAATAAACAAATCAAAGAAATTATGTATTGATTTCGTGTATTTAACCGTAGATTAGCATTTACACAGTAAAAAACCGAAACAAAAACATAGAAGCTTACCCATAAACGCCATTACCATCACCCCTAAACCGATGTACACGAAAGCCAAACTACACTGGTAGAAAACACAAACAAAACCAAATGAGACAATCGAGTGGGTATTAAAATAGTTTTGTGACATTACTATTCTCTATTTCTGCAAATTTTTGTAACAACAAAAGAAAAATGAAAACAGAATCCAAAAGATTACAGAAAATGCATGCTAACCTTTTCAATTTCGTGCATAAAGTTTTCTGGGTTTCGTTGAACACCTTTGCCATAACCCAAACTATTAAAAAGACGACTAACAAAAACCAATAAAACATTTGTAGACATCCCATCTCCAATTGCTCCAAGTGTGCCCAAAACTATCAACAATTTGTCATACCAATCGGCATACCGGAAAATTATAGTTATGGACTTTTTCTTTTTCTTCTTCATGTTCTCCTCCATTGATTTCTCCGGCGACTTGGTCGGAGAACTCATCTTTCCGGTGAGTTTCTTGGAGCAAGTGGAAGTGGGGGATGGTTTAGTTTAAATAATTGGAGATGATATATATCTGTATATATAGAGTAATAGAGAGCTATTGTGGGTGGTATATATGTGGAAAGGTGTGTAAAGAACTGAAAATAAAAGAATACGGAGTATATTTCTTGACTGTCGAATCGTAAGCATGAAAGAGATAATTGGTTTTTGCCCATGCACCTTTTCTATCTTACTTTATCTTTTTTAATTGGTTTTCTATTCTTTGATTATTGTTTTCTATTCTTTGATTATTGTTTCTCCTATTTGTCTTCTTTCATGGTGAAAATGATGGCTGTGTGACCGTTAAAATGAGTTTATGTTGTTGAAGTTATATTTGATTACTAGATCGAAACTAGTTAATTAGTTGTTGGGCGATAAAATTAACATTTCGTAAATGTTAGTAAATAAGCTAATTGTAAAATTAAAGTGATATATATATATATATATATAATATAATATATATATATATATATATATATATATAATATATATATATATATATATATATATATATATATATATATATACTAGCCGTTTACCCGCGCTAAGCGCCGGGCGTCAAAGAGTTTCTTTCGGAAGATAGTTTTATCAGTGATGATTAGTTTCCTTTAGACGTGAGCTATTCATTGCGGCCATTTGGTAGACTATTTTGTGTCGAATAGTTCATTTCAACGGATAGTTTCTTGCTAGGTGCATAGTTATACAATACGACAGAAGTTGAGTCTACATTTGGAATTTCATCTAATAGTTCATACTTGATTTTACAATATATATATAAATAACAACAATCTGCAATCGTGTAGTTTTGTACATTTATAATATGTCCAATATATAAACTACACCAATCTGCAATCATGTTGCTTCATCTGCTAACTCTGCATTAAATATCAAATGAGCATCTAAGATACATATTTGAAGAAATCGTAAAATAACTCGATGTAGTAAAGTAGAAAATCAAGAATTGTATTTATGTGAGACAGCCTAATTTTGTGACACCGTGAGACGCAATCCTAACCACTCATTTAGTAGATAAAAAAAACATTTTTAAAATGCAAAATAAGTGAAAATTTTCGAAAATTAAAATTTCAAATATTATTTTCGGAATTTATATTTTCCAAAAAAAAAATACCAAAAAAAAAATAATAAATAAATAATAATACATTTTTTTTACATATTCTAGTAGAATATTAGAATATTCTACATATCTGACAACTCTAGTACAATATTCTAACGTTTTAAAAATCATATTAGAATATTTACAATGTAATATTCTATTAGAATATTTCACGTGTTTTTCAAAAAAAACGGTCATTTTTTTATTTTTTTTATTTTTTTAGGTAATTAAAATTCCGAAAATAATAATTAAAAAAAGAATTTTTGGATTTTTCCTTTTATTTTGCATTTTAATTTTTTTTTTAGATTTGGTCTCACGGTCTCACAAAATTAGCATGGTCTCAAATAAACCTGAACCTTTCTCTCTCTCTTTCTCTCTCTCTCTCTCTCTCGCTCTATATATATATAATATATATATATATATATATATATATATATATATATATATATATTCTTATGTTATTTTGTTTTTACTAACTATTGTGTGCCAGAATGTACATATCTGGACCAACGAATGGAATTAATCAATGGACATAATTTGAGAATGTATGATATTACAATGGGATAACATGTACCATATAATCACACAAATTTTAGCAAAATTGTATTTTGGACAATTAACTACATTTATAAAAGAAAATTTTCGGATGTTTAGGGATAATTAATTCTACTAATTTTAAAAATCTGAATTGTTTAAATTAATTCAATTTTAATTGTAACGTAATTTGTAAACATAACTGATTTTATTCTATCAGAATATTTTTTTGCTAGAATGATGTTTTTTTCAGAATTTATTCTTTAGAATATTATTGAAAAATAACAAAATTCTTGAATCCGAGGTTGAAAAATAACAATATTCTAATATATTCTTATACATCCGAACTTAAATACAAATTCATGCATATTCTTACACACTAAAAATCTTATATATTTTAATATAATTATACATATTCTAAAAGAATATCAACAAAATAAAATTCTTAAAAAATAACAACATTCTTAAATTGTGAGTATGATCAAACTTTATTCATTCTTCAAGTTATTCCTATTAGGTCTTCAACGCATTCTTCCAGTCATTCCTATCACAAATACAACAAAAACTAATACTGGTTAAAAACATGTTACTTGCAATTAACTATCACTTTATATATTCTGGTAGAATACATAGAATATGACAGAATACATATAATACATTCCGACAGAATATATAAATTTTATTCGGATAGAATACATTCTGACATAATACATAGAATACATTCAAAAGTATTGTATTTACTGCTAATATAATTTTAGATTCCAAATATACAATAAACAGGGACAATAGAATTGAATGCAAAATCACAAATTGAACCAAAATAAATACAGACAAATTAATTACATTTTTAAACAATTACATAAAACATGTGTTGCTAATAATTCTGACAGAATGCATACCACAACGTTAAATCCTTTAGATTCTCTTTCAGGAATTTCAACAAACACTTGTTATACATTATCATCAAACAAGCATATATATATATATATAGATATATAATATATATATAGATATATATATATATATATAGATTATGATTTATTTTTCTTAAAAGGGATATTATTGGATTTTATCAATTTACCGTAATTAAATATAGTATAGATTACTATTAACCCTAATTTATTATTAATGATTTATGATTCGTCTTTTTAAATTCTCATTTGTTCATACATGCATACAATAGTTTGTTAAAACATTTGAAACTTATATATATATATATAGATCTCTCTCTCCTCTCTCTCTATATCTATATATATATAGATATATATATCTATAGATATATATATACTCTCTCTACAGAGAGAGAAGAAGAGAGGAGCGAGAGAGCGAGAGAGAAGGGTAGGTTCCGTTGACATTAAAAATAAATTAGAGATCTTGATATTCAACCCCAGCCACATATTTCACATCTGACGCACTAACACTCCGGCGTACCAACGCGACAGACATGTTATAATCATAAATGATTATATAGCGTCGCCCGTTCCTTTCTCCCCCGCCACCATCCCCACCACCACTACCACCACCTCTGACACCATCCGACCCCACTACTGTCATCTCCGTCACTTATACAACCGCCACCTCTGCAATCACTACCTCTTCTGCTACCAACTGTCATAATCATATATGTTTACTCAATCTGTGAATAGAGATATATGTATAATCATTTATGATTAGGCATACCCCACTGTTGCCGGTACGCTGGAGCGTTAAGCGGCAAATGAGAAGTATGTGGCTGAGGTTGAATCTCAAGATCTCTAATTATTTTTAATCTCAAGTGAACCATCTCCTATATATATATATATATATATAATAATATATATATATATATATATATATATATATATATATATATATATATATATATATATAAAAGGTTGCAGAACTCGCTACTCGGTACCTGCTCGATCGACTACCGAGTAGCAAGTACTCGGGGAGTACTCGGATTCGGTAATTCGTGTAGAAATATTTTTAAGAAAATTTTATATGTCAAAATCATAAAATCATAATTTGATTGAAATATATAACAAAATTAGATATATGTGAATACATAAAACCTGAAATACACACAATTGTCTCAATTCGTGAGTAATTACTGAAAATTTAAGATATATATAGTAATAATCACATGTGTATGTTAAATAATAAATCATTAAGTGTATTATATATATTAATCTTGAAATTTTTGATTTTTTTTCTCTTTTTATGACAATTTTGACCCTTTGACCAAGTTTGACCGAGTTGGCCGAGTTTGACCGAGTAGGACCGAGTTAGAGAGATATTGACCGATTTTTGAACAAGGTTGACCGATTTTTGACCGAGTTTTACTTAATCCGAGTTTTTTTGCCGAGTTCACAAAACTTGCCTCGGTGGAGGGCCGATTTCGAGTACTCGGCCGAGTAGGCCGATTTTTACAACACTGTATATATATAGGGTACGGTTCCGGTGATGACTCTTTTTTCGATGAGAACTCGTGAGGACACCTTAAAAAAATTTTAAAAAAATACAAATCATAAAATCGAACATAGTACTATATTGGAGAGAAAAAAAATTGGAAAAAAATTTTTAGATCATTAAAATTGAATCATGGATCATAAAAATGATCTATGATTCAATTTTAATGATCCAAATTTTTTTTCCATTTTTTTCTCCAATATAGTAATATGCTCGATTTTATAATTTGTATTTATTTTCCATTTTTTTTCAATTTTTTTAAGGTGTTCTCACGAGTCCACACCGAAAAAAGAGTCCTCATTTTGATCATGTTTCTCTCTCTCTCTCTCTCTCTCTCTATATATATATATATATATATATATATATATATATATATATATATATATATATATATATATGTTAAAATTTCATAAAATCTATATTTACATTAAATTTTGTTATAGGATTAAGAAACCTCTTTCATAGTTCAGTTATTATATAACATGGATATTCTGCATCAAAGTCTAATTCTAGAAAGTTTTAATAAGAGTAGACTAGAACATTACCTAGCTAAAAGAATTACTTGATATTTAATGAGGACAAAATGTCACACCATAAAAATTGTTATACATGATGATACAATTTAAAAGACCTTATGCACTAATAATAAATATTGTATTATATATTTTGTTTGAAAACAAAACCAACAGTGATGGATCAAATTTTAGAAGATATAAAATGTACGATGGATATTGATGATGAAATAATTGGAAACAAAAACACAATAGAATCAGAGAGCTATATTGAAGGTAAAAAAATCTTATTAATGACTTTTTTTTTGTATAAGATGCTTATTTGAATCATTAAAATATTGGATCATTATTAGCAAATCGATGATCTTCATCAGGGAAATATTGGATCTTTATCAGCAGATACCAGATCTTCATCTT